TCGTTCGTGATTGTGTGAGATTTAAGTGATCGCTTCGTGCATGCGTGTGTGTCTGTGTGTTTATGATGACTTCAGGCGACCAGAATACGTCGTGCATATGGCGATGCTGCGCGACGGCGAATCGCACTGTGTCGATTCAGAGTGCTGTGTAAATTATTTGTACGTACGTCTGATAAAAGTCATAGAAAAAAATAAAATAAATGTCTGTCAACCCGCCCAACGACTACTGTGACCTGTTGCCGCTCGTGAGACAAGCGAACGCTTTGCGGCCTAGAAAATTTCACGAACCAGGTCGAAAGACGATCGACGAATCCGCGACCGGCCAAAAATGCACCATGCCGCGATTCTCGTGGCGAACATGAGCAATCGCCGAGTTCCTCACACAGGACTGAGTGCATGCAACCGTCAACGGTTGACCGCCGGACTCAGTCATCATAAAACGCTGAGGTTTGCTGACCCAAAAGGAGGCGAAAGAAATGCTTGAAATTCCACCTGTTACAACAAATTTACGAGGGAAATATTGAAACCATTTTGGTTGTGACAGTCGAGTAAATTACTACTTTTATTGAATTCATAAACTCATGGCAATGCTCGTAGACTCATGGAGGATGTGCTTATGTCTTTTTGATTTTATAATAAGAAACAGGATAAAATTGTTTAGCTGGAACAAGATGCCGCTGCTACGCAGACAATTTGAGACTGGTCTGAAATATCTGCAGTGCTAGTTATTAACAGTATGTTACGTTTGCCCCTTTGTAACGTACCAGATAAAACGTTAATGTGGCGACACAGAGAAAGAGGTCGGGAGACAGACAAATAGAGCAACGCGAAACCCCGCCGTTAAGGTTTAACATTTAAATCCGAACTTCTCATTTACGTTCATAGCGGGGTGGCTATTCGAGCTAGCAATTTGAAATGGCTGTGCATCCAAGAAGACGCTCAAATACCTTGGAATTGTTAATTCCATAAATTGCTCCCTAGATGAGGAGAGAGACGACTTGTGCGTATTTGTCGTAAAACCTATTGTAATAACTTGCATGAGTCATTATACGACAGCATTGGTGTAAGTCATATTTGATTGGTTTTAAAGCCATGAACCTGGTAACGTGGGGGGAAGGGGGGGGGGTTGACGAAACAGAGAAG